AACCACGAAAATTATCCCAATCTACTCCCCGTCATCTTTCCTAGTTTAGTTTAGTTTTAGCAGAGGTTTTACGGCACTCGCAACTGCATAAGGTCATATGAGCGCCAGAGAATTAGAGGTGTTACAAGAGAGTAACAAACATAAAAAAGAAGAAGGTGAGATAAGGACGATAGATGTTTGATAGGAAAGAAGGAGCAAACTACACCAGAGCACCCACCGGCCAACCACCCACGTCATCTTTCCTTAGGGAGGGCAAAATTCAAAATCTGCGAATCTGGAACAGAAAGCTAAAATATAGATGTTCACAATACATGTAATACTATCTTATTAGAGATAGAGAGAGAGAGAGAGAGAGAGAGAGAGAGTGAGAAAAGAGAAAGAGAAATTGAGAGAGAGAGACTGAGACAGAGAGTGAGAGAAGAGAGAGAGAGAGAGAAAGAGAGAGAGAGAGAGAGAGAGAGAGAGAGAAATTGAGATAGACAGATTGAGAGAATAGAGAGAGAGGGGGGGAGTAAAAGAGATAGAGTGAGAGATGGGAAAAGTAAAAGAAATAGAGAGAGAGGAGAGAAAGAAAGAAAGAGAGAGAGAGAGAGGGAGAGAGAGAGAGAGACAGAGAGACAGAGAGAGAGAGAGAGAGAGAGAGAGAGAGAGAGAGAGAGAGAGAGAGAGATAGTGTGTGTGTGGGTGTGTGTGTCTGTGTGTGCGTATGTGTGTGTGTGTGTGTGTGTGTGTGTGTGTGTGTGTGTGTGTGAGAGAGAGAAAGAGAGAGAGAGAGAGAGAGTGAGAGAAGAGAGAGAGAGTGATAGAAGAGAGAGAGAGAGAGACAGAGAGAGAGACAGAGAGAGAGACAGAGATTGAGACAGAGAGTGAGAGAAGAGAGAGTGAGAGAAGAGAGAGAGAGAGGGGGGGGGATAAAAGAGATAGAGAGAGAGGAGAGAAATAAAGAGAGAGAGAGATAAAGAGAGAGAGAGAGAGAGAGATAGTGGCTGAGTGAACTATCTCTTGGACCTTCCGGTTACCGGGTACGTAGACCCTGAGGCTACCGGCCCGGTTACCGTGTACGTAGACCCCGAGGCTACAGGCCCGGTTACCGTGTACGTAGACCCTGAGGCTACAGGCCCGGTTACCGTGTACGTAGACCCTGAGGCTACAGGCCCGGTTACCGTATCAATCTCTCTTTCTTTCTCCGTGCCCCCCCCCCTCTCTCTCTTTCTCCCCCCTCCATTTTTTCAATTAAAATAGATAATCTAGCGTTGTCAATTAGTTTTAGGTGTTTGGAAATGAAATTAATGTACTATGGAAGAAGAACAGCCCCCAAACTGTTCATATTTTACATTCAAATTTTTAATAGATCTATGCCAAACAAAAGTTTCCGATAAAGTCGGAGGTAAAAATCACTAAAACAAATGAATATATCTTATTCCTACTTTGGCCAATAGATGTGTGAAAGGCAGTTTTGTAAGTCAGAAACATGTTTTATCTATGGCGAGAAGGAGAAGTATACCAAAACGGTTATGACGTCAAAACGAATAAAAAGCGAGTTCAATTTTATTCATTTTCAAACCGAGTCAGCTAATGAATCGTTTTGAAACCGAGTCAGCTAATGAATCGTTTTGAAACCGAGTTAGCTAATGAATCGGTTTGAAACCGAGTCAGCTAATGAATCGTTTTCAAACCGAGTCAGCTAATGAATCGGTTTGAAACCGAGTCAGCTAATGAATCGTTTTGAAACCGAGTTAGCTAATGAATCGGTTTGAAACCGAGTCAGCTAATGAATCGTTTTCAAACCGAGTCAGCTAATGAATCGGTTTGAAACCGAGTCAGCTAATGAATCGTTTTGGAATGGAGTTAGTTCACTCGGTGCTGAGGGGGATGACCTATCAAGACTGCCCTTTGACAGTCCGCTACTACACGATGCACGACGGACAGCAGTGCCAAATTCAGTTTCGTGCTCAAAAGAATATTTTCCAGAAGTGATTTTTCCCCCCTCTTCATCTTCATAGATCACGTTTGCCACTTCAGACTATAAATAAAATTACTACTAAATTCCATTTCCTGCAATCAGATTTTATGTTAAATAGCTTTGATAGTAGATCTAGTTTTGTTGGAAAGGAGTTTATCAGTTGGTAGGAGCAGAAACACGACACCGCATATTATCAAAACAAAGAAAAAAACTGTTTTAAAAGGGAGGCTGCTAAAGTGATTGCTTGGAAATATAGTAAGGGCAGTGGAAGAACCGTCGGGAAAATCCAACAATAAGCCCCCTCCCCCCGTCCCGTGCGAAAAAACGATTCATTTATTCGGTTATTCGGATTTTTATAGAAACAGGTACCTATTTATTTGGTTTTTTAAAAAGCGAATAATGCCCAGGCCTACTGGGATAATCACGGGATTTGAATTTGACGTGAAGATGGCTTGCAATTGTGATTGGTGCAATCAGAGACGCAATGCTCGTCCGTCACCGTAGTGCGTAAATTTGACCTTGGCCTCTTAGGGCATAACCACCAGCAGAAGGGATTTGTAACTGCTAGCAAATCAGCGCGTTCTAAAAGCTCATGTGACTTTCATTGAGTCGATGGAATCGTGGGACGGTCCAATTCGAACTCGCTGCTTCCTTCTGAACACAGCGAGGGGAAAATAGAAATAAGACATCGTGTTTTATGATACTTTTCAAACTTATGCATTTTTATTCATTCAAATCTAGCTTTTGAGCGTCCAAAAATGTTTCTTGGGTGCAGTTTTGCGTAAAATTATTCACAGTTTTTAACAAATTAAAAATGTTTTCGCTCCTCGTGATCTATTTTCCCCTTGGCTGCCCTAGTTCGGGAATTCGTGTTCAGACTCGTCCCCCTGCCCAATGTTCGATCTCCGACTCAGACCCCACGAATTCGTCGAATTCCGAATCTCGACTTGACTTCGCCCATGCTTACTTTCTCCCGGCTCGCCAAGTGCGTTACACGCTGATAGACTGTTTCACTGCGCTTGCGAGAATCTTTGCACAAAATGCAATGGAATCTTTTCAAAACGATGTTTGAAAGGGAAACGATGTTGGGTAAGATTGAACTTTGGTGGACCCACCATTGAGGGGGGCCGGAACTACTTTTGGGCGTCGTGTGATGCCATGCGCTGGTCCACTGTTCTTCCTTGGCCGCTGCGCGGCCGCGGCCGTAGGCCGCCACGGCGCGCTCTAGGCCTGGGCAGAAACCGAATAAATTATTCGAATAACCGAATACGAGCCCAAAACTAGGTCTCCGGTTAATTTTTCCAAAAACTAG